ATTTTGAATTATTTTGTGGACTATGCTTTTTATTTTATTTTTATGCAAAATTAGTTTGAGTAAATCCAAGTTCCACTCCCCTTGGCCCACCTTGCATATAGCATGTGTGGGAAGACTCCCACTTATAAAGAGTAGATACATTCTCTTCTTTTCCAATGCAGGTCTCAAGTTCATGTATTTCAATCAAACGCCAACAAGTAATTGATATTATCAAATCATGTTGTGACTTGAATTTAAGTTTTAAGGCTAAAATCCATTTTTGGAATACTACAATACTTGGGTACCAAAACTAAATTTTTAGGATTTTTATTCAAATATTTAATACTAATTATTCACTAAAGAAATCATAATTAAAACACAATTACTAATGAAAGTATTTAAATAAGGCTAAGATATTATTTAATTACTAAAAGTAACTTTTTTTTATATAAAAAAAAAGGTTAAAAAGAATATTTTAAGAGTATAGCCGCGCGGCCGTTCTCCACAAGTAGAATATTTTAAACGTATAGCCGCGCGGCTTTACTATACAAATAACAGTATAGCCGCGCGGCGTTACTCTAGAAATAGAATAGAATATGTTAGATGTCATAGGAGAATTCTTTGTATATTGAGCATGTCTCGTATCTTTCCTTTTTCTAAGGATACATGCCTGGAAGGCTCTATGATCTCAAAGCATCAAAATATTGATGCCAATATGAATTGAAGTCACTGATAAGTGCCTTACATGACAGTGGGATACAGGACTGATTAAAGTCCCTCTCTTATTTGCAGCGACGACACACAATATTCTGATGGCAAGAGGAACCATGACACTGGAGTTGACTACAATGCTGCTCCTGATACTGACCACAAAAACACAAAAGTTCAGAAAGAGCTTACGGATTGGATGAATTGATTAGACACTGAAATTGGGTTCAGTGGGTGGAGCTCTAGGATAAGGTCATGCAGGGCTATGCCTACATTCTTACTCATCCAGGGATCCCGTCAATTGTAAGTTCTTGGAATTCAATTTACATTTTTTCTCAAGCTAGAAAACTGCATGTTTCTGTTTCATAAGTGCTTGACAAATGCTCTTTTAGCTGACTATAAAATGAGATTCAGGATGTCCTGGAATTCTCATTATGGTATTTACTAGATTCAGGATGTTTGGACAGAAAAGTTCATTTGACTTCAGATAAATTAGGTGAAGATTCAGCATGAACTTGCTTTCCAATACATATAAATATGAAATAATTTGATATCGTTGCCAGATTGAGCATTTTCTCACCGCCTAGTATTTGAGGTCTTTCTGTTTTCCCTAGTGAACCTATTTAGACTTGATGGTTATGGCCCATACTTCAACTTTGTTTTTCTGATTATCTTTGTCACAGTTTTATGACCACTTTTTTGACTGGGGTCTGAAAGAGGAGTTCACTAAACTCACTGCAATCAGATCCAGGAGCGGGATCTAATTTGCCTCACCGACAGTGCCATGCGCATTCTATCAGCTGATGCAGACGTCTATGTAGCTTCCATCGATGAGAAAATCATAGTCAAGATTGGTCCAAGGCTTGACATTGGGAAGCTAGTGCCTCCAGCCTTCAAAATTGCAACTTCTGGAAAGGATTACGCCATGTGGGAGAAAAAGGAATTGGGTATTGTTGATCTCATCTCTGTGGAACTGGAATGAACTAGTTAGAAATTTTTGTAGTGCGGTTGTATTATTTGCCTGAGTCTATATCTGACTAGAACAGTTTAAGGTGTCTATGCGTAGCTGGATTCAGATCATTGCAATGGGGTTCAGATCATACGTCTTGAAGATTCAAATAAGTACTAGCTTTTAGCAACTGAAGCTGTTATCTTGTGTTTAAGCTAATATTGCTCCAAAAGTTAAGGATCTTCAGTGTATGGGGTTTGTTCTGACACTCCATTTTCTACAAAGGAAAACTGGCCTTAAAATGCCAATGAACTTCACAAATTCACTATCTTGAAGAGTATAATTTAACATCCCAAGTCACACATTGATCCCCATGAGCCATTTTGAGATCAAGTTGCAGTCCATCTAATTAACATCTTCCATTTCCTTCAGATCAAGTCATGCAAGGATATGCCTACATCCCGGGAATGGAAATATGGAGACATTTTATGGAATGGAAAGTGTTACATGATAACCCTATATTACAGAGAAATTTTTCTTTGTGACCGTGGTGTTACTAATCCACACAAGTTATAGACGTGTGGTGGGCGATGACAATGCTGAAAAAATTACTCCTATATTATGTTACCGGAAAGAAAAACCCTTCTCTGTTCATTGCAGATTGTGAATGGTGTGCAGAAAATGTGTTAGATGCTTTGATTCCAAGGGGACATGGGATTTGATGGGAAGCGAGTTTTATACACTGATTTCCCAACACCGTTCAGGGACCTAAATGTCTAATCCATAGCCGACAAGGCCACTAACATCAGAGATGCTCTTCAAGTGCGGTCCAGACCCAATTCAGTTGGTCTTTTTAACATGCCAGTAACTTATGAGCAGTACTCTTGCTACCATGTAAAATACCTTTCAGTCCCTGTTATGAATCCGTAAGTTTTTTTTTATTTCTTCTTTCTTTACAAGCAATAGTGTGGGAAGAGGGAGTTGAACACACAACATTTCACTAGTTGAATTATTACTTTTTTTTTTTAAGGCCAAATATCATATGTGTGGTCAGTGGCAGATTCATGAATTTTCTTTTTAGAGCAAGAACTATTAATAGTGAAGATCAATCGACTCTTGAATGTAAAAAGACACATCATATAAACGTATCCATGTACAAATTAGAGGTTGCCCTCCTTGCCCTGCCTTAGTCTTCTTTGAGGCATTTTATCAAATAGCTTAGCCCCATTCAATACAAAATTTCATGAAAATCTAGGACCATAAAGAACATGATCTTCCTTGGACCTTTAGGGGCCGTTTGGTTCATGGGAAAGGAGGCATAGGAATGAGAATTCAATTGCTTTCCCATGTTTGGTAAGTCCGGGAATGGGAAACGGATTCCTGGCACATGGAAAAGTAGGGGGGAAAGTGATGCCCCCCTCTTAACTTGGGTTTTGCTTTCCCTCCTCATGGGAAAGTTTGGGAAAATGTGCCAACATTCAATGCACAATTTTCATGACTATTTTGTCCCTATGAACAATTTATAATTACAACGTATCATTAAATGCATTCTTTTTTTATTTGATTTAATATGGGTATAATTGGAAAATTATACAAATTTTGTTTTCCATTCCTACTCAAAACAAACATGGGAAAGGAAACAAAGTGAAATCTCCCGATTACTTTCCCAACATTACCAAACGTGGGAAAGGAATCTTTCATTCCCATTCCTTGGGAAATGACATGGGAATTGATTTCCCCTCAAATCCATTCCGTGAACCAAACGGGGCCTAATGGATTCGTCAGTGTGTGTGTGTGACATCGTGCTTTAAATTTAAACCATGTTGTAGCAAAATTATCAATCATACAAAATTGAGTGTAGCCATCTGATTAAATTGCAGCTTTTAGACGGAGGGAAATCTCAATCGTGATTGACATTGATAACGGGGCGCCAAAACAGGTGTACAATTGATAATCATTTTACCACGCGTAATTAAAGAAAACTAGAAAGAAAATGAGCGAGTGTTAATGTGAGAGATTCTTGTGTGCGATCACACACACACACTCAGGAATAGGAGTGGTCCCGCACACAATTTAGTGTAAGGGAAGGAAGTTGGAAGATTCCGCCATAATTTTACAGAACTTTCCTTTTTGAGGCAAATCCAATTCAGCAATGAATGTTTCCAGTTTTGGTGGGGTCTGTCTGTCTGTCTTGTCTTATCCTTTGGGAGTACGAGTGGAGGGAGAGAGATTGACCTCTGGGATGGGAATGAAAAGTTCAGCTGGCGCTTTAAGGCTTTCTTCTAACCGTGTGTTGTGTGAAACGCCGAGACTCTCTTTGATGTTGACAACCGTGTTTCGTTTTTTCATGTTGAAAGTTTCGGGTGTACAGAAAGTTGCTTTTGGTTCATCTCAAGATAAATATAAAAAGTTGCTGAGGTCATCGTATTAACGCAATCCAATAAATCATCAACGACGACTTTTTTTTTATAGAGTTTCTACTATTTCAGGCTTACTCGCAATAACTTTTTTATTTTCCAAAAAAATTGAAATCATTTGTTGTAACTTCAAAAACAACAAAGTTTGCTTTTTATAAATTGATATTGAGCATATGTTTTATTTTATATTAATAAGTTATCTATTAGAATATTATTTTCCTAATATAATTTTAGCTAGAATTTTCATTAGCTAAATTTAGAAATATTCTGGAATCTAGAATTTCTTACGATTTTAGAGTATTTTGGTTTTTTTAATTTAAACCAACTCGTATCGTTGCATTTGTGACAGTTTAATTTATTATCAATCAAATATTTATGAGTTTTACTCAATTTTCTTTGATTTACATTTCATTGTAATTTTTGTATAAAAAATAATCAAGCTATGTTCTATGAAGAAGTTGAAGCAGTGTTCTAAAAAACTTCCGAAGTTTCCATGTTGACTCAAGTACTGTTGAATAAGTTCATCCTCGTAATCTAGCAAGGGACAACATGTCAGGATTTTCATTTGTCTGCGATGATGATGTAATCACTAAGGTATATGTCGGTCTTTAAGCAAAAGGAAACTCCAACCCTGTCCCATAGCGGAACCCGTCTACTTCTCAAGCTGCCACGTGTCCCTATCCTTAGATATCTTAAAGCCCAGGTCACCTTCCGCTGTTAAAACAGCGCGTGTGAGCGTCAGTCCACCGTTAATCCAAGAGACAGTCTGTCAGCTCGGACACTTGTACACTTCCACTTTCCTCCAAAACACAAACACAACTCACAAAATTCCCCACGTGTGTGACCACACTGCGTGTTTAAACGGTGTGACAGCTGTTGTCCACGTCACCTTACCCCTTCGTATATAAACGCCCGCCACTCTCTCTCTCTCCGCTCCAACACAAAAATTGTCAAACACTTTCACACAAAACACAACACTATCTCCACTTCTCTTCTCTGTTCTCTTACAACAACAACAACAACATGCGATCCTCCTACAAGCGACCCAAGCTCAACGACCCCCAGCCCATCCACCCGGCTGAGCCTCCGATGCCGCTGCCGCCTCACCGCCTCACCCAAGACCAAGAGCTCACCGTCATCGTCTCCGCGCTTCGCAACGTCGTCGCTGGCACCGCCACCACCGCCTCCATGGACTTCAATTCCCTCCTCCCCCCACTACAATACGCCGCCACTTCCTACCCGGGCGCAACTGGAAGTAGCTGCTACAGCGACGCCCTATTGACACCGTCCGATTTGGACACCTGCAACGTGTGCAAAATCAAGGGCTGTCTCGGGTGCAATTTTTTCCCGCCACCAGCGCAGGAGGAAAAGGCAAACAATAAAAAAAAGGGGCCCAAGAAGAGGGTGAAGAAGAACTACAGGGGAGTGAGGCAGAGGCCTTGGGGTAAATGGGCTGCGGAGATTCGAGACCCGAGACGGGCGGCTCGGGTCTGGCTCGGCACATTCACGACGGCGGAGGAGGCTGCCCGGGCCTACGACAAGGCCGCGATCGAGTTCCGCGGACCCAGAGCAAAGCTCAATTTTCCATTTCCCGACACCACATTGTTGACCCAGGAAACCAATTCAGCACAGCCCGCACAACCCGCACAGCCCTCACAGCCCCAGCAGGTAGTTACAGAGCAAGAGACAAACAACGAATTTTCTCGGGAAATTGAAATGACGGAGATTGGGAAGGAAAAGGAAAAGGAAAAGGAAAAGGAATTCTGGGAAATGATTGGAGAAGACGAAATCCAACACTGGATGAGGATGATGGATTTTGCCACTGATCATTCATCGGATTCTGGAAATGCTCATAGCGCTTGAGCCCAATTTATTTTCAGGCAAATTGCATATTATTTTATTTTTTTTCTAGACAAAATTGTAGGTTTGTACGTGACTAAAACAAGTTCGTTTGTTCTTCATTTAACATTAATGTGATCAATTTTAGAAGAAAATCACATTTTTGTTACGTAATTTGTTTGCAATGTAAAATTGAACACAAATTAGTATTATTTTTAAAGTCTAATTTTGTTTGTGGGATCCACACGTAGCTATCAGCTTTGATCAAATACAGCATGTGCGTTCACAATATTCTGAAAGCCCTACCACGTACTGCCACGTGTACTGGAAGCGAAAACCTTCAGGTGATTTGTGAGAATACAACATGTGCGTGTTTCTTTTCGGGAGTAAAATAATTGGGAACACGAATTTCACGTTTCTTTAATTAGCACGTGGGAATTGGGTTGGGAGTGCACTTAAAAAATTAGTGGATTATCCGAAGGGAAGGAAAATGAAAACATTTTATTTTAGATTTGATTTTAATACTGGAGTCAAATAGATTAAGCGTAATGAACAATGAATGGATATGCTCTAATTAGGCCGGGATGTTGTGGCTAAAACGAGTAGGGTCCTCTAATTTGACAATTTTTAATAAAACATGATTAACATGATTAACACCTGTTAATTAATATCCACCTTAGTTTTAGGATGCAAAACCTTAACGATGAAGAATGATTCACATAATTTAGGAACGTTTGGGAGTGTTTTTGGAGCTGCCAAAAGCTGTTTTAAATTAGTACAAATACTTATGTCTTTTAAAAACGATGTTGGAAAATAATCTAGGAGTGCTTTGTTGGGGTTCAAAAGCACTTGAGGTGGTTTTTCAAGAAACACATAATAGAAGTGTTGCATGGAAGAAACACGGGAAACACTTTGGGTCCCATTAATAAAAGTCTAAAGTAAGAGAAGTGAGTGAGGAGAAAATATGAAGGGAATGTGGAGAATAATGAAAAGGGTCATCATTTTCTACAACCACTGACAGTGACAGTGATTGAATAATCATAGTCAGAGTGATTAACATGAATATTAACTCCTTAACTACTCTCCTAGCAATCATTTCCATACACGTTATTTCCCTGCAAAAAGAAAACCATATCATTTATAGGAAATTTTAGATTCATTCTTAATTAGGATTAGTTTTAATTGAGGTTACTGATCTTAGCTTTTGGCTAAACCCACTATGTGTTTTTGGGTTTAAAATGAAAAACCTTTTTTGAATAGTAACATTGTAACAAGGGTGGTATTTTAAGTCAAAGTGACCTTTTACAGGATTTTTAAAAAAAGGTCAATTGACTTTTGGTGGTTCATTTCTGTATTTGGCAGATGAAATGGTGATGGGTTGTTGGGTTTCCGCACTATTGCATGTCCCTCTGCCATCATGATGCTCGGCTATTAGGTTCAAGTTTTGAGGACCATATTGGGCCACAAGTTCTTTCAACTTTGAATCTTCAGCGTATCTCCAATGGCCTCTGGCAGAACTCTTTGTATGCCCACTAGTACTAGTTCTCCCAGCAGCAGCAAGGCTACCTTCATCAGAGCTCTGGGGTTGGCTGGGTGGGGAAGACAGAGGGTGAGAGTTTATTTGATTTTTTTAAATATTTTGTTTTACTATTGCATTTTAAGGAATGAAATAGTGAGCAAATATAGCAGCTACGAATAATAAAAAGATCATTTGAATTACTCTTTGGCACCCTGCCACCCACATCCAAATTTGACAACTAAATTCCAAATAGTAAAAAAAATTATTCTTTTGGTTGCTTTTCTTCAAAATTTACTGAAATTTGCAGCTTTCCAAGCAAACTCACCATGTCACTACCCAGTAGTCTCCCAATGCCACTCAGCTAATAAGAAAATTTACTCTGCTTCTCCAGAACCAAGTGAAGTCATTAAATTTGTTGCTCAGTGTTGTCAGGCCTACGGTATGGCATGTATCTGTGGTCCTTTGCAGCATTCTTCCTGCGCCTTTTCTCGATGAAGGCTTCAAGCTTGCCAGATCCCTGATCATTTTTAAAAAATTACGTTAGTTGCCAAGCCACGATGACTAAGTACTAGTCCCAACAAGGTATCTTGAACATCATGACAAACGAAAATTTATACCTTGAGTTGTTTATACTTTTCCACAAGTCGTTTCTTTCGGATCTCAGCTGCAAATAATTAAGAAAGTTAAAAAAGTACAATTGGGATTCGAATAATCAGATGATAAGATCTTGGGGTTCTCTTGTCAAGGGGTCTAGAATTCCTCGTATAATGAATCTAAAATTGGGAGATCTAAAATATTTTGCTTTTTCTTGCATCTGCCAAGTACTATCCGGAAATATAAGACCATTAAAACAAAACACACATGCACATGCACACACAGATGGAGAGAGAGCAAGAGAGTATTACATTTCTTAAGAAAAAAGGGTTGTTTCCCTTGCTTTGCTGCTTCTCTCTCTTTTTGCTTGTGCTTGGCCAGTATTGCAGCTTCAGTGCGCTTGGCTGACTCAGATTTGAGCTGTTTATCCTGAAAAGACACAACAATGAAGAAAACTGAATAGTGACAGAGCCAGTTTCTCTAATTTTTCTTTCAAGCAAAATAGAGTTAAAAGGAATATATAGCAAGGAAAGATAAACGAGGGAATCTATCAAATATATATTTTCGAAGGCAAGCACTTACGATCCAAGATATGCGTTTCTTTAGTTCTTCAATGACTTCTGGGTCCTTGGATTTCTTCACTTGCTTCAGCAATTCCTGTCATATGCAAAACAAAAATCAGAGAAAAATAATAAATATGTAGAGATGAAACTGAAGACATATAACATATTTAAGAAATTTTACCTCTCTCTCGGCAGGAAGCTCGTTTGCAAATAGAAAGTCATATCTCTTCCTGAACCTGTTGAATGCAGGTTATCTTTTTTGTTTTCTAAGTAACATAAATTTTGTTGAAGCCAGAAGTAGCAACTCATCTTTCATAAAAAGAGAGAAGCCCAAATAAAGTAATCTATACACACACCACAAATGGGGGGCGAGAGAGAGAGAAGCCTACCCGTCAACATCCAGTGTTCCACATAAAGATTCAAAACGTGGGTCACGTACCACCTGAGCATAGCAAGAAATAAATTCAACCAAAGTACACTGATTGAATTGTTCAAGCTTTACACTAAACGAAGTACATGTAAGCCTTCCACTTTACTCCAATACTCCATTAGTTGTCTTAATAAGATGATTGCCTAGGTATGGAAATAACTAGCTCTAATCACAGATTGACTACTCACAACTTTGCTCATCCACTTTCTCACTTTAACATAACTTTGATACAAAAAGACTTCTCTAGGAGAAATGAATCCTAAGAATAAAATCCACATCAAATACTTAAAACCATAATCGTCAATTATTGTCATAGTAAACTATTTAAGTTATCAATATGTTCTCTTGAAGACCTTTGGAACCCAATAGGAAAACAGAAAGGTGTACCACAAATAAGGTTGAATCTTAATTAAGTCATAAAATCACAATGCAGTACATCTATATATCAAAAGCTCACTTTTTTCGAACCTTGAATGATCTCTCGAAATCTTGTAACAGGCTTCTTGCAACTAACCTCCATTGGCCTTCAAAAGCAAACATACACACATATATTCAGCTCTTCAATTGCATTACGAAAAACCCAACGAAAACCAATGGGAAACAATCTAATGTATGCTCAAATTACCGGTTCTTGTTCGCCCGGCCACCCTTCTTCTCTTCTTTGGGCTTTGGGTGCACTAAATGTGACCCGTTTGAGCGTGCCTTTTGCAGTTCTCCAAATGTCACATCTGCGAGCTCCTGCTCTATCTCCTCCTCCTATTATAAATAAAAAAAAGAATGAAAATCAAATGCAAAAATTGATTCCCCTTCACAACAATAAGAATTATAATTGCAATAAAAAAAAATTACTTCTGATTACTTACATCTTCGGATGAAGACGAAGATTTGGGTTCTTCGAACTTTATTTTGCTTGATGTGGAGATTGTGCTTCGAGGTTTCTTCATTTTAATTATCTGAGTTAAATAGGATTGGGTTTGCCCTAAAAATTGAAATCAAAGTTGATTAATTTCAAGAAAGACAATATACAGAACACAATTAAATCCAAAAACATTCAAAATCAGACACACTAAAACAGATGAGAATATTAGGGCATAAAATGAATCAGTTGGAATTCTGTGTTAATGCAATCTTTTATTTTTGCATGTCTAACAGATGATGAAATTCTGCATACACACTATGAAATTCTGCATAATAGATGATGAAACAGAATACCATAGAAACAAAAGGATATATACAGCCATCCCCACCCCAATATTACCCATATACCTATTATCTAATTAACAACACAGCAGCTTATTAAAAGAAAAAGAAGAAAACCTTAAGCTGCGTAAGAAACCCACCCAACCAAATGAATCTGAGATGGCGATGGCGATGGGTGCGACGGCGATGGCTGGTGGGTTCTCTCTCTTCCTTCTTCCTCCTTTTTTTGGATGCCGTCTGAATCGCCCAAAAGACCTAGCTAGCCTCTCGACAGAGGCAGGGTCTTTATTCTAAGTTTTAAGTTTACATTTTAACCCCAAATATTCAATAACTTTCAAAATCACCCCCAAAGTTTCAAAATATTTTCGCTTTTACCCCTTGACTTATCACGAGCGTATCATGACTGTATCGATGGAGTATCAGAGCTGTATCGTAAAGTCAACAGGCCATAAAAGTCTACGATATGCCACGTGACGTATCAGATATGTATCGTTGCCGTATCGGATACGGTATCAGATAAGCATATCCCCAAAAACTGCCGTATCGATGCAACAAAGCTCACACAATCAACTCTAACCCTTTTTTTTTTTCCTTTGTACCTAGCTGCTGTTAGTATTGGGTTATATATATTTGATTCCTTTTTTGTTATCAAAATGCATTTGATTCACAGGATGGATGATTATATCAAAATGTATTTGTTATTTAAAATATGCATTTAATTTGGTTACATGTATTAATTGGTTTTTAGTTTGTTTGGTTTTTTTTAAAAGACCTTTCCTATTAAGAGGGGTCATATCATACTAAGGACTTCCATGAGATTTGAACTAAAACAACGAAAACATTTTGTCTTACATCTTGAACCCAGGACTTCCAACAAATTGGATGGAAACTAGAATTTTATTTATATTTATTGTAAATTACTATACACCTTCAATTAATACAATTTATTTGGTATTAAAAAAAATCAATACAATTTATTTGGTGTTTAAAAAAAAAAATTAATACAATTTATTTTCATGTAATTGTACTGGACGAATTTGTTCTACTTAAGGATTCTATTGATGGGTTCTCTACAGAAGGTGCCATCCAATGCAAGGACTCCATCAACTCAGACTTTATCCCCTCTACTGCAGAATTCATGACTATGTTGAGATGCTTGAGATTTGGTAATGGTGAAGGGAAGGCCTCTCTAAAATCTTCTGGAAACATGACACCCTACACAATTAAACACCAAAAAAAAATATTAATAAATATTTGCATAGATTTATTGCTAAAATGAAATTTTTGGATGTGTATAAATACCTCAGCATCATGAATGTACAGTTTCAATTTTTTGGAGCAATCAAAGTGTTCAAGATAGTCTCTCAAAGTAGAAAAATGATTCAATGGCAAGCTGAAGGCGGGCCCTCTGATGTGATCCAAAAGAATGAGTGTTGCATCCGATAAATATTTCAATGGAGCCATGGAAACGTTAGCCATCAAATATCCACTAAAATCAAAAGAATGTAAATTTGGAGTGTTAATTGTTGCCTCGACACTGTTTTGGCACAATGCATATAATATAAGGTGTTGAAGGTGCTGACTGAAGATGTTAATGCATTTCAAGTTGGTGCAATCAAACAATGCCATGCTCTCAAGCAATTCAAAGTCTGAATCAAATTTAAAAGACTCAAGATTCTTGGCTTCAACTTCAATGTGGCGAGAGTAGCAATCGAAAATTTCGAAGGATTTGAGACTCGAACTTGAAATTTTGAGTTTCCAAGTCCAGGAGCCGAGGTCACATAAATTTAAGGACAAATGCTCGATCCAAGGGCAGCCTGAAATTAGGTTGGAAAGTGCCATGCCCTCGAAGTCCACCATTTTGAAGGACATGGATTTTAGAGATGGTAAGCTTATAGGCTGATCAGCATTGTCCTCTATTCTCACACCCTCCAAACTGAGAGTGGTTAAAAGCTTTGCATCAAAAAGGGTTTGCGGCAAGCAGTAGGGTTTGACGGTCGGTACGTTTCCAAGTCTTATATCTAACTCTTTCACGCTTCTCTCAACTGCAGATCTCAACCATGCATCTAGGACTTTCGCATCTCCCTGGTACCTCATTCGGAGCCTGAATTTTCCGTCGTGATTGTATGGATCGCCCTCCTTGAAATCGAACACCAGGATCGAGGACCACGCCTCTGCCCATTGCTTGGAAACAAAGCTAGCCTGGGCTGCAAGTTTTGTGGGAAGGAGTTGGAGGATATGGTAGATAATGAGGCCGGGTAAGTAATTATAAGGTCTTGTTGAGGCCATGGCTTTTGTCTCAACAATATTTTTTTTCCGCAGCCTTGTGTTTGTGTTTGGCTTGTTGTGGCTGCGTGCTTCCCCCTTGTAAACCATTGTGAATGAATGACGATATTGGAGAGAAGAGATAGAGGAGGTCTTATTTGTAAGGCTAGAATCCTTGTAGGAGTAGGAAACCTTTTTTTTTTTGAAAAATAATATCGTAGTAGGAGTCAGAAATTTTTATCAAATTTGAACTCAAATAATATCTTATAGGATTTACTTCCAAGTTTCCGTTTTATTAATTTATTATACAAATGACTCTTTCACGACACATCTGCCTATTTGAAAAGGTCAATGCTTAAACCTCGTACAAAGTTGTTGACAAAACATACCCAAGTCAAACACAACTATCCATTTTTATTTAATTATCCATTTACTATTCCTCGAAATATCAGCAGAATCCCAAGCTATTCTCTACAAATTTCCAGAAAAATCTTATCGAAAAAGGTAAGTTTTGGCGCTTTCTTCCTTGGCAATCAATCATTACCTTCTGCTTATTCCTCTTCGCCACTTTCTTCCTTACTTAGGTCTCTTCTCTCTCCTATTGCTTCTTCCTCTTCTCCATTTTCTTCTTTCTCTGCTCTCTTCTCTCTCTGATTGCGTAATGTTAACACACACCTTCTCTCTCTCTCTCTCTCTCTCTCTCTCTCTCTCTTTCTCTCTCTCTCTCTCTCTCTCTCTCTCTCTCTCTCTCTCTCTCTCTCTCTCTCTCTCTCTCTCTCTCTCTCTCTCTCTCTCTCTCTCTCTCTCTCTCTCTCTCTCTCTCTCTCTCTCTCTCTCTCTCTCTCTCTCTCTCTCTCTCTCTCTCTCTCTCTCTCTCTCTCTCTCTCTCTCTCTCTCTCTCTCTCTCTCTCTCTCTCTCTCTCTCTCTCTCTCTCTCTCTCTCTCTCTCTCTCTCTCTCTCTCTCTCTCTCTCTCTCTCTCTCTCTCTCTCTCTCTCTCTCTCTCTCTCTCTCTCTCTCTCTCTCTCTCTCTCTCTCTCTCTCTCTCTCTCTCTCTCTCTCTCTCTCTCTCTCTCTCTCTCTCTCTCTCTCTCTCTCTCTCTCTCTCTCTCTCTCTCTCTCTCTCTCTCTCTCTCTCTCTCTCTCTCTCTCTCTCTCTCTTTGATATAAGTTAACAATTTTAATTAATATATGTTCTCCTGTTTGGTTTTTTATTACTTAAAGACTTCTAGTTGGAGCTTAGACTCCTACCTTTCTACCATTACAAACACAATAGCTTTTTCTTATATTCATCAACATTCAAAACTCATGCTCAATCTACCATGGCTACCAAGAGAAAAAATCCCATAGAAAACACAAATACAAGTAAAAAGCTTCAAACCCTAGAGTACTATGAATCAAGGGAAGATGATCATGATCGTGACCGAGACGACATCACAATACCTAGCTTTCCGGACCTTGTTATCGACCAAATCCTCCAACACCTTCCCACTACACTTGCCGTCAGCGTGAGCATATTTTCCAAGCAATGGAAAGGTGTATGGTCTTCGGTCCCCGTATTAGATTTTGACGAGGGCGAGCCCTATGATAACGACGAAAAGCTCGAAAATCTTCGACGGAAGAAGTTCATTAAATTCTTGAGAGGGTGTTTGAAATTTCGTGAGGAAGACAAGTCCTTAGATAAGTTCAGGCTTCGCATGAGATACCGTGGGAAAAGTAGAAACATAGAAAAGTGGTTGAGCTTTGCAATTGAGAGAAGCGTCAAAGTGTTAGAGATCAGTCTTCCAAGAAAACCTAAATTCAAATACTATTGCCTATCCAAGACCATTCTTAATGCAAAATCTGTAACAACCTTAAATTTGGAGAGTTTGAGAATAACTGATGACAGCACTTCTCATCCCATAAGCCTTCCATCTGTGAAAACTTTGTCACTCAAAACTGTGCACTTTGGTCGCCGGGCTTTCTCCAATTTAATTTCACGGTGCCCTTCTATCGAGTGCTTGACACTAACTTCGTGTACTTTTGCCATCTTGAATGGAACAGTTAAAGTTTCGTTTTGCAGTCTTGAATCCTTTTGATAGTGCAATTTGGCTCAGTTTTGGTGGTTGTCTATGGTAGACATTTGGTTAGTTTTGCTAAATTCTGGTTTGATGGTGCAGTATTTATTTCCTATGCTCTTGGTGTCTTTAATTTGGCCTTGTTTCGTTTTCGGACGCATTGTAATCTCTTAATTTATCCTTGTTATATACCCTTTTCAAAAAGGAAAAGTTTTATCACTCTTTGGAAGACTGGTTTCATATAAGATGAAACGCAATTGTAGGTTTTATCACTCTTTGTTTTCTTTTTCTTTTTGTTTTCACACAGGGTGTCTTGTGACTGCAATTTGTGTGGCAGAAAATATGATGCAATGAATGTTCTCATGCCATACATAAAACGCACACTTTTATACTTGGCAAATTGAACGTTCTTCGATGCATATGTCTGTGTTTTTGAATCAATATCGTGACCTAAATCTGGACACTAATTATTCAAGGAAGAGAATACAACTGCCAAAACATTTTCTACACAACCACAAGTCTAGCTAGTCTCTCGGGCGTCGGCACGGGCGGTGTGCCCATATATATATGATTGGAAGTATCAAACTCAGTAAGTTTGTGTTTGGTTGAACTCGGTAATTTCTTTGTTTTTATGAAATTTCAACCCCTATGTGGTGGAGGGAAGCATTTTACCAAGTAATTAACATGACCATATAGTCCAATGACATCTCGACTTTGTTGGAGAAACTCTTCAAATACCATGACCAAACATTTGTTGAAAAACAAAGAACACTTCTCTTCTAAATTGATTTAATGTCTAAATTTTCTATGTTTGAGATGGTTTACCACTTCAAAAAGAAAAAGTATGGGGGTTAATTTCATTTTGGTACCCGACTATCTATAAATAGGAACTGGAGAAGAGGAAGAAGCAATAGAGAAGAGACCAAAGTAAGGAAGAAAGTGGCGAAGAGGAATAAGCAGAAGGTAATGATTGATTGCCAAGGAAGAAAGCGCCAAAACTTACCCTTTTCGATAAGATTTATTCTGGAAATTTGTAGAGAATATCTAGGGATTCTGCTGATATTTCGAGGAATAGTAAATGGATAATTAAATAAAAATAGATAGTTGTGTTTGACTTGGGTATGTTTTGTCAACAACTTTGTACGAGGTTTAAGCATTGACTTTTTCAAATAGGCAGACGTGTCGTGAAAGAGTCATTTGTACAATAAATTAATAAAACGGAAACTTGGAAGTAAATCCTATAAGATATTATTTGAGTTCAAATTTGATAAAAATTTCTGACTCATACTACGATATTATTTTTCAAAAAAAAAAAAAAAAGGTTTCGTACTCCTACAAGGATTCTAGCCTTATAAATAAAACCTCCTCTATCTCTTCTCTCCAATATCGTCATTCATTCACAATGGTTTACAAGGGGGGAGCACGCAGCCACAACAAGCCAAACACAAACAAGGCTGCGGAAAAAAAAATATTGTGGAGACAAAAGCCTCAACAAGACCTTATAATTACTTACCCGGCCTCATTATCTACCATATCCTCCAAATCCTATTATAGAAATCTTAAAAATCCTTAAGTAAAAAATCTTTATTATATAAATTCATAAATAAAATCCTATAAGTCATTGAGATTTTCTATTTAAACCCCACACTTCTCTTAGTTCACTCCATGTTCTAAGTTCACCCTAACTTTTAATTTAAATTTTCACAATTTCTAAGTAAACCCCACTATCTTCCCAAACTACCCTTAAATACACCATAAGCTGAAAAAATAAGAAAAAAAATAGATTTTTTATTTAAACCCCACAAGCTATCTTTAGAGGAGGAAATATGTTATGGGCATGAGAAATAGTAAGTATTAAATTAATTTTTTGATGATATTTTAGAGTTTTATTCATTGTCTATTTTCAAGTGCATAAACATGCAAGTGATCAAGAATATAGGAGCTATGGTGGTTTTGGGTTTGCTGGATCACTAGACGTTAATTATAGCAATGGGACAAAAGGGATGAATCATGATTTTGAAAAATATCAGAAGTGTGCAGGACCTTTTCAGACTCAATGTACTGTACCAAAAGATGTACTGCATCAATATTAATAATATTATTAGTTTATGGTGATGAAATTTGAACACATGTGCTTTCTATTTTTATGTGGGTAAAGATGGATCAACTTGTACTGTACCATTCATACTCAGCTTTGTAGCTGACCACCTGTGTGGCTTCCCTGGTTTTGTGTCTTTTGAAGAGTTGTGGGGTGTGTGGGGTGTGTGTATAGGGTTAAGTATTAAGTTGGATGACTTTTTTTGTCTTTTTACACAATAATAAAACTTACAGCTTAATAATTTAAGTATTGGGGTGAACTAAGAGAAGTATGAGGTTTAAATAGAAAATCTCTAAGTCATTATGTTCTGTTTAAATCCACTAGACTTTTTTATCCCCAAATAGTCTTTTAAAATCTCAATTGAATACACCCTCCATAATTGATTTCTTACCTTAGAAGGATTCCTAGTGATTCTAGAATTGTTATAATTAATTAATTCCCTGATTGATGAGAGGCTATATATGATCACCCGTGTATATAAAGCCATAAGAAACTTAGGTTAACAATCCCTACAAGAAATCGATTATGGCTACCAGAAAAATCCCAAATCACCCAAACACAAACAAGAATAATTTGAAGGGAAAGCAAAACTCCATGGCCACCGCCATAATACCTCATTTACCCGTCCTTGTTATCCACCATATCCTCCAATTCCTTCCCACAAAACAAGCCATCCGCATGAGCTCTCTTTGCAAGCAATGGGCAGGGCTGTGGTCTTCAGTCCCAGTACTAGATTTCGAAGAGGAGGCGGACAAGCCACATGCAAAGTTCATCAATTTTGTGGACAGGTGTTGGGAAATTCATGAGAAATATGAGCACTTAGACAAATTCCGGCTTCGCATGATGTTCCGTTCATTTGAAGACTTGTCTAATATAGATCCCTACATTTTCTATTTCCTAAACATATACCCATCACTCTATAAATCTATGCGTAAAACCCAATTTCAAATTTAAATGACCAGTAAGATATAAGAGGTCATAGTATTCCTATGTTTTTACATCGTTGCCACCAAACTTCATTTTTTATTTATAATTTATTTCAAGTATTTCATTAATTGTCATAATTGTAATTAACACTCCCTATTAATAGCATATCAATCACCCCATTTCTTTTGGTTGTCATTCCCTCTCACATACCGCCCCCTTAAATTGCAAACCAAAAAAAAATCTATAATTACATATCCAATAATGTACCTATAAAAATATAAATATAAATATACACGTATAAAATATAAATATATTATTTGAATAAAATATAGGTATATTATTTACCAAAAAAATTTTAAAAAACTAAGTCAGTTACTTTATAATTGAAATTTTCGTACATTTTTCATAAATTAAAAATAGGTACACAATAATTTATAGAAATATAGTTACATTATTTACCCATAGGTAAATTATTTTACAATATACCTATAAATGTGTATAGGTACATTATTTGGAGAGGAAAAATAGCTTCATTTAAAAAAATACGTACATTGTTTTACTAGGTATATTATTAGAGGAAAAAAAAAAGGTACATTATTTGGAGAGAGAAAATAGGTTCCTTTAAAAAAATTATTTTTCATAAAACAAATAATAGGTACTTTATTCAGAGAAAAAAGGGTACATAATTTAGAGAAAAAAAATAGGTACATTATTTAGAGAAACAAATAGGTTCATTTAAAAAAAAATGTTTTTCATAAAACAAACAATAAATAGATTATCAAAATATTTTTCAACATAATTAGAATGTACACTACTATTCATAAAACTATAATAAAATAGATTACTAGTAGTGCAGTTCATAAAAGGAAAACAAACAAAAAAATCATTAAATAAACCAAAACGTTTTTTTTTTTGGTCATAAAATAAACCAAAGCGTTACTAATACGTGAATGTTGAATTTAATATTTAATTTCAAATAAGTTTCTAAATTAATTCATACATCCATTATAACCATTTGAAGATCTTTCCAAATTCAACGTGTGTCATTAGTTACACCTCCACACAACACGTTAACTTGTAAATATGGGTAGTTTTGAAATCCGAAAAATAGAATAAATCAGATTTTAAGCTAGATTAGGTAACTTGTTTACTTGGATCCTAGTCATCGGGTTTTATTTGAAAAAATTGGGTATTTTAAATAGAAAAATAAAGGAAAGGGTTGTAGGTGATTACAAATTAATTTTATGGGTCTAAGCTCAATTTACTAGAATATAAACTGTACAAGTGGTTGGGTTTTGCAGTTGAAAGAAGAGTCAAAGAGTTAGATATCAGCTCCAGCTATACACCCCCGTTCCTTGACGGTGCGTTACTCTCGGCCCTTCTGAATGCAAAGTCTATAACTCGTTTGAATTTGGAGAAGGTGACCATAGCGAACAGGGGTGAACCTATAAGCCTGCCCTCATTGAAAACTCTGTCCCTAACAACAGTGAGACTCGAACCCTCGTCTGTTATCTCCTCATTGATTTCAGGCTGCCCTTGCATTCAGTATTTGTCCTTAACTTCATCTTCTTCCTCCAACTATTATAATATATCCATGCAGACCCTGTAAGATAATTTGATCTACGCCCAAGTGGGAGAATGTAAGATAATTTGGGCTTTGATTGATTATATACAAGGCACAATTTTTACTATGATTAAGCCTAAGAGGGAGCCCTGATTAGTTGACTAATAGAGTATCCTAATAAGGAGGGCAATCAAGCCCGAATAAGGTGTGTCTATTGGTATTAATTAAATAAGATACTGAAAGGAGCAATCACATTCCTTGATAGGGGGGATCTGATTTGTATTGTATTCTTATATAAGGAGGTCCCTGCTCTCACAGCAAAATGCGTTCTAAAAATACCTAGTCCTATTTACTAGTTAGAGCATTCGGT